AATTTATTTATGGCTCGAGCGGTGGCAGTTATTGCCATTCGAAAACCGCACACACAAACACACAGCTCTATCCGCAAACAAAACGTAAATATTGATCGCATCCAAACCGAAACAAGGTATTATTTAATTCGCGCGGCCGTCATTAGGATCCAATGCATCGTGATTACGCAATACGCGAAATGTTGATTAACATACAACGAATGGAAAACATACCTCGAAATGACAATACAGAAGATCAACCAATATTGTTTCAAATTTGCTTTAGTTACTTGTTTCGTTTAATTTATGGTGATTATAATCAGGATTTTTTATAAAATTGATCATTCAGTTAACGAACAGTTCTGACTATGAACAAATCGGACAATGTATACAATTCGAATAACGAACACATTACCGTTACTTTCGGGACACTGTCATGACCCTATGAAACAATCTTAAATCTATGAACAATTCACTACCCAAATTATGGATTATGTTTTATAACCCACTGAACTATAAAAGTGATTGATGTTGTGAATATGTAAACATTCTGAATGTAATTGAGATAACGCAGTGGCAAATGTGCAATTCTTTATGGTAGCAGATGAAGATGACTGAAACAAGGGTGGAATACTACGCAGCATGGGGCAAAGATAATAGAAACAGAAGAACTGTTACAATGGGGAAGCACCGAGGGTAGAAAAATGAAAATAATAATGATATACGGAAGGTAGTAATAAAGGATTTTTTAGGGGTATCAACGCAACTGCACTTAATAATAACATCTAAGATGATAGAGTATAAAAGGGAGATGAAAAATATTGTGAAGCTATACAATAAAACATATGCATTTTAGTTATAATCTACTTAAATTATACCTAGAGTTATTAAATTGTTTGAGATAGTTAACATTAATTTTATTAGAAGTAATAATAGTAAAAGCTTCTGTATAATGCGCATAATTTATACTAATTTTAATTCGTTTTCATTTCCACAAATCTCTCAAAAAAAATCGCAAAATATAAAATCTAATACTTTTTCAAAAATATCTTATTTTCATAAAACTTTGTTTATTACTCAATATAAACTTAAGAAGATTGTAGTAAATCTAAAATTGCTTCAATTTTAAAGTTTCTGTTGTAAAACAAAGCAAGTGTAGTGAACTGAAAATTATTAACTTTTGACTTGACACAATAAAATCACTCATAAATCCGTGATACAATAAGAAATTAATAATGATTATATCTCAATTCCGATAACTTTTATAACACCCCGTATACTGGGAATAGCTTTCAGTGTGAAGGTTCTCGAAATTACGAAACTAAATGAAGTGAGCCCAGGAGTACCATAAATCCCAGATCCTGCGGAACATTAAGTTTAAAACTTAAACTCTGCAACATCCACACGCCATCTACATACGTATATAAGACATCAGCATCGTGTCCGTCGAGTTACGATTAGTAATCCTGAGATGCGCAACCTGCGGCTTGATTAAATGGTGTGGTTTCGATGAAAATTTTCAGTTGAGACATTCTTCAGGCGGAATGCACTTCAGGAAATGACGTCGTCGGACGCAATGCATCTTCTCGTGAAACTCTTAAAACTACAATTCACTTGTCCCGCGGTCGGAGGGGTGACGGTTCGCAATCCAACATCCCTTCCTACCCCCCATGTGACATCCTCAACTCCCTACGTCGTTCGTCGGCCGCATTAAATCTAATTAAAAAGTTTCGCACTTAAAATTTTATTACAGCATATTTTAAATAGTTCCGCACCCATTAACATTCAATTAATTTAATTACAGTGAATAAAATTAGTTGGAAGCCTTGGCCAATTTCTGCACGAAACGGTGGCTGCCACCCAAAAACCTTGCTGATTTATGTCTCGTTTTATCTTTAGTATCCACTTTTTGCTCTTATTCAGGGGTAATGATCCTTTGTACATTGTTACATCTAGAAGTACCTTGTTTATATACCGACTATCTACGACTATACAGCGAATCACTGTTTTTTTTTTCTTCCTAGAGAATAAAATTATACGTTTTGTTTAATTCTAGTAAATACATTTTAAATTGAAATTTCTAAAAAAAAATGTAAATAACTTTAGATTATTACTATAAAATAAAAACAGAATTACTTTTTAATAAATGACTGTATGTAAATGATGTAGTAACGATTAAACGTACTGTGTTTGCTATTGTGAGCTTTACCTGAAAATGGTTGACGTTTACTAAACAATTGACGCTGCACTTTGAACAAGCATTCAAAGGAAAACGCCGAAATTACTCTCAACTGTAGCCATTGTATCGACTCCGCTATGCAGGTGGATAGATTATAATGACAATGGCATTACAACGTTGTCCTCCATACAAACATACAGATACATACACAAAACAGCCTGACATAATGGAATTACTTTTGCTTACACGTTTCCGCGCAATTAAAAATAATGAGCCGTATAAATGCGGTGCAAAAATCGCCCCAACATTACCGTTTCATTTCAGTTGTTTATTTTTTTTCTCTCTGTTCTTCTTCTTCCCTTCATCTCTCCTTCACTCTCCAAGTACATTGTGTATGTGTGTGTCTGTTGTTTTTACCCTATTTCTATCCTCAACTCACGCCCTCGCCGCCCTGCGTGACTTTAATGAGCAAAAAGTCCCATCCGATGGAACGATTCGGAGGAGACAAACCGACTGCGGAAGTAAAAACGGGCCTGGAATAAAGATCACTCCTGAGGGGTGGCGGTGTTTGCAGGCAGGGGTCGTTCTTGGTTCCTGGTGTCGGAGATATATAGTTCTCGCGGCGTGAATGGCACCCGCGGGATCTTAAAACCTGTGTAAGGACTTTTCCGAGACCGGCCCCGCAATCCGATTACCTAATGGTTAATGGTTTTAACTACCATTATAAGAAACCAACCCCGGTAATCTAGCTCCTCACTAGAGGCAGATGATCACACCCTCACGTATCACCACCGCCTCTTATAGAACTATAGTTGGGGAGAGATGCCATATTTGACCCGGCGCTTAAGTTGGACCACTATCGTAACATAACCTGTACATAAGTTAACTGATGCAATAATTTATACAAGAAAGCATCTTTTGGATGCAATTGAATTGTTAATTGATAGTATTTACACTGTCCTAATATAATTAGAAAAATAAGAAATTATATACTTATGAAGTCTATTTGATATTTTTTCAATAATTTCTAAAAGTTTCCTTTAAAACACAATAATGTGCTTGATCATAATAGAATAAAAACCCAGAATGTAATAGCAAATAATTTCTGTAATTCCAAACTAAAGAAACCAAAATCATCAAATGTTTAACAAAAATAGAGACAAAAACATATAAAAACAATTTATTATTTTATATCTGAAATGAAGAAACACAAATGTAATACTTGGGTCCACAAGACAAAAAAACACTTTTCCTTACTTTTTATATAAATAAATTGAAATTAATTCAATTGTCCAATCTAGGAACCAATTGTATTATTTTCATAATTTTTTTTAAACAATAAATTGTATCTTTTTGAATGTATAAATGGTAACATTTTATTTATTATTTTTAAAAAACATTCTAAAATTAAAAATGTCATTCGTCTCAGTTTTGTTGAGTTTTCCCAATTTTCTTTATTCCTTCGGATACATCTTTCGGAAAACACCGCGACAACTTAAATTCATTATTAGTTTATTAACTGGCATCAGAATTTACTGCTGCTGGAAAATTGAAAAGTTTGCAGCCGGCAGAGTCGACTCGGTCTGCAATTTATTATTCATCGACCGCTGCACACCCTTAGGTATACATATATACAAGGGACTGTACGTTCCCTATTTTTTCTTTTATTTTATTTTTTTTCTCTTCTTCGGATGTTCGGAAATATAGGATGTGCATGAGGAGGTTCGGTTGCTTCACAATTAATTCACGAACAGATATCTCCGGCACACTATTGAATATAAATATCCCATTTATACTTGCGGCTGCTCCATTTATATTTAATGAATATATCTATACCTTATTTGAATATTCCCTCAATGCTAAAAGTCTGTGTTGCAAATTGTATTTTAAATTCATGTTTTAACTTTTATAAATGATCACTTTCTTTCCTCTATACCAAGAGTCAGTGAACCGGGGTAAATTACCCCAACTCGGTTAAAAATGTATTCTTGTGGTGGTACTGAATACTTTCACCAATTAAAATATTAGAATAAAATTCTTTTTCTCGTCATGATGGGGTAATTTCAGCGTAAATGAATATATTTTGGGATAATGGTAAAAAAAAGACCCTACTATTACTCATATACAAATCAAGGCACTTTTAATACAGTTTAAGAGTCCTCGATTAGTCCGGTTTCAAATATTGGGTGATATGGGCGGATTTCGATTGTATTAGCAATCTTCATTAATAAAATGAATTTTTCAGGCAATTAAATATATTTGTCTTTGTAAATATATTCAGGAAATTATAGTATATTACCGTAATTATATTCAAAAAAACGGAATTTTCATTAGAAATACATTTATTCTTCTGATTGTATACATTTTTGATTCATTAATGTACCAGAACAGTGAATTAATCATTAATGATGCTTTTTATAATATCACCTGGTATATTCATTAAGCAATAATTTTGTATACTCAATTAACTATTTTATTTCTTCGAAATTGAATTATGATATTTATACTTTTTTTTTCTGTCATTATATCCAACTTAGTATAAATAATGAAATAATGTTTATTGGTATGTTTCTCTAGTATCTTCAAGATATTTGGTAGGCAATGCGCTCGTTGGTTTAGAATATTGATTCTTGTTCATATTGTAATATGCTTTTCTGTGTACAAAAACAGAGCAGCTCCAAAACATTAGGGGACGTGTCGTTAATGATTGTGTGCAGCTGGCGTTTCTCCTTTAAATAATAAATGGTTCACTGAGAGCTAGTTGTGTTGTTCCTTGAGTCTTGGGGGGATTATGTCTCGAGTGGATGTATCTAATTAAGTCGCGTGCCGTTTCGTTTCGCAGGATTTTGACGTTCTGCTATTTGGCTGCCTTCAACTGGTGGTTGCTCCTCTGCCCCGCCACCCTCAGCCACGACTGGCAGATGGGATCAGTACCTTTAGTCACCTCCATCTGGGACACCAGGAATCTGGTCACCTGTCTCTTCTTCGCCATAGCCCTGGCGTTGGCCATCAAAAGCTTGATGGACTACGAGGTAAGCAAACCCAAACCTTTTATTAACATCCAAATTTTATTAAGTTCGTGCAATTCCGAATATTATTCACCAAAAAAAATGGGAGAGTGAAGGAAGAAAAGACGAGAGAAAGACGTAATTACCGAAATGTTCGCTTCCGAAGGAAAATGTAATTATAACGGATCTACCCCGATGGGTGCGGGGGAATGGTATTAACCCAATTTTCCGAAGCGGCATTAAGTTTAACCGTAGTTTAGGCTCTCAGCTTCGTAGTGTGGGCATGTGTGAGTATGTATATGTGGGTCTGTTTGAACGGCATTAGGTGGACAATCGGCGGCCGCACCTGGTGGGAAATAAAGGGGAAAACCGCAGCTACTGTTAGTTTATCGGTGACAGGTAATCCGGGTAGTTGGTGGTCACCATTAAACTACCCTTGCGGTCGCGCGTCGTCCAATAAAGAGCTCACTTTGTATTTCCGTTGTCCGTCGTCGAATAAAATGCAGGCCGGCATTAATTAAACAACAAATCTAATCTGGCAGTTGGTCCATCCCCAGCATCTTTCTATTTCCTGCCTGTTTTTTTATTTTCATTGACCCCGACCGATTTTCGTTTAATCATCTACCGAAGCCGCCTTTGATGTCACCCGATTTGAAGTGAAATTGGGACTCAATGCGCTGTATAATTGAATAACGGATGTCCGGATAAGTTGAGATCAAATAACTTTAAATCAACTACGGCGGTTTGGAAATACTAAAACGAAACTATAATTACCAAGTATTTTAACATCAAAATACAGCTTTTTATTTTAATTAAAATAGTTACTAATTACACAAATTGATAATATTTATTTAAAAAGTAGCTTAAATATTTATTTATAATCATTAGATAGATTTACAATATTCATGTGACTACAATTTTGTTCTCGAGAATAATTATATTATTATTTGATAACATTTCATTAATTTTACGAAAAGTTATTGAAAAATAAATCTAATGTCATAAAAGAAATGTTACTATTTTCTTTTGCTGTCATTATTGTATGGTTAAAATTAAATAAAATTTCATGTAATTTTATTTTGAAATATCATTTTTTTAAATTTTATGCCTGAAATCATTGTTCAAATATATTAAATTGTAATGTTATAGAATCAGTCAAAAATCTATTTGAATTTTTATCCTATAACTTCGAAATTGAACATTATAATAAGTGACAGCTACGAAGATCAGTTTGAATGGATTACATATGATTTATTTACAATTCCACAAGATGTTTGTAACCACAACAACAGGGAGTTTTTGAGAATACCGAAATTACCTTTCCATTATCTTGCATATAACAATTGGCAATTTCAAGTTAAAAAACTAACAACCATGATATTATTGACTGCATATTCATAACGAATAGATTTTTCAAGGGTCTATATTGCAAGCCCGACAACCGAAAGACCGTCTATTGAAATCCCGACGTTCAAAATCCCGAGTGTATCGAAATCCCGGCTGGCTCAAAATCCCGACGTTTGAAATCCCGACTATATCGAAATCCCGACAGTGTCTTTTATTATAAATTTCTACAAAAACATTTTTATGGTAGTTGGGATTATGGTAGTCGGGATTTTGACATAGTCGGGGTTTCAAGCGTCGGGATTTCGATACTCTCGGAATTTTGAACGTCGGGATTTCAATAGACGGTCTTTCGGTTGTCGGGCTTGCAATATAGACCCTTGAATAATATAGCTCAATCTGCAAGTAACAGGTACTTATAAGCATCAAAAGGATAAGTGACAGTTAACAAGATAAACATGAGACACAAATGTTATATCTACTCTTTATACCAATTTATCATTTCAACTACAGATATTTTTGGAAAATACCGGATTTATCTTCAATATTTGTTTAACATTAATCGTTGTTAATATCATAAAACATAAAAAAAAGTTTCAACTATATGTGCCTTTAATATTTAATTAACATCGAGGTTATTACATAACTATGGGAAATTATTATTCCAAGAATTTTTAACCGTGAGATTATTTATTAAATATTAATTACAATTGAATTATAAATAATGTAGGTCAATTTTTTCAAGTAATAATAGCGCTTGTGAATAGGTATCAAAAGAAATGACAGTTAACAAAATAAGCACTAGAAACAAATGTTATTCCTACACTGTATGAAGTATTTAACTACAGGATTATTTGAGAATACCGGATTTTCATTAACTAAAAGAAATTTAAATTACAAGAATTATCAACCATGATACTATTTACTATTATAGGGCAATTTGCAAGTAACAATAACACTTAATATGTTTTTGGATCGACTAAGTAATGTGAAAACAGTTCTTTGTGTAGGAAGATACTTTGAATATAATTATTTTTATAGCACTTTGATTTGTTAAGCAGAAATGTTTATTACTTATTCAAAGTTCATTCCTATTATTGCATAATCTCCCCCTATTTAAATGCAGCTTGTTGAAAAATCGATTTAACTAAATTAAAAATGAGCTGTAATGATATGAAAATCTCTTAGTAATTGAAAAATTACATTTTCTATAAATCGACCATATGTTGCTTGATTGTATCATCTTTTCCGTTGGAAATATTCAATTTGAAAATAAGTCTTTTTATTATGATTCTGAATGTGAGTGAGTAACTCCAGCAGAGTGTATTGAAGTTTGCTACATATTAAATCCGGTCGGGCGATATGAAATTTCTTCAATTTAATGGCAACATTAAGACGCATCCTCCACATGCAGGATATTCATCCTGAAGGATGAGAACGAGGACGAGTATATTGCCCCAGTCCGATGGGGTGCGCTTTCCTGCTCGATGGAACGCGCATTGCCAACATAATAAATAATACCCCCCGTATTGTTTTAATATTTGCATTTCAACGTTGCTCCACTCCACGAATTTATTTTTATGCGATATGCGCCGGCATATTTTTATTACGGACGATACCCGGCCTCTCCCTTTTTCCATCTAAATTCCACTCCGGGACAAAACGAGGAAGTGAAATAGGAAATTGCATTCCCCTCCTCACCGACTCTCATCCACAATTTCTACCTGTACATTTCTTTGCCTTCTGTTCGGCATACCTATGTATCTTTTCCTTAAACCTGTTGCGATCCTGCAACACAAAACAGGACTATAAATAAATTTTATTGATTTCCTCGTTTATTTTTTTTTATCGCAATCAACTCAAATTAAAGACATCCGGATTTGCTTCATTCATGTCTCGTTAGTATAGATAAAATAAGTTTTTCTTTAACTTTAGTATCTAAATAAATAAACTAATGTATTTCATTATTTCAAGTAAAATTGTTAAATAATAAATTGTTATAAATTTTCTATTCAAACCTAATATTCTTAAGTCATTGTTTTATTTTATTTGAAATGATGATATTTTAGTAAACATGAATATATTACATCTATATGTTGCCCACATTTTTACGATTTTCTATATTGCATAAAAATATGCATTTCCAACCATTTTAATAAAAGATAAGAAATTGCAAAGCTAGAAAAATATTTATAAAACTTTCATGAAAATAGTTTTATCATAGTTTTTCGTGTTCAGTACAAATTCTAATTTTTCATAAAAACAAAATATAAATGATTTTATTTGAATTTGTTCAATTTTTAGGTATATACTTTCTTTATTAAATAAATTTTATTAATGTCAATTCGACTTCGTATCAATAATTCAAAACTATAGGAAATTTTATATGAACAAAGAAATTCGAAAACTTATTTTAGTAAAAAAATTCTTCCAACTTCTTTAGTATTTACGTGTTTTTATTTAAAACTATTTTCTGTCATTATTTTAATTATTCAATGTTTTCAATGCATTTCTAGTATATAGTTTGCTTAATTAACCAATTACATTCATATCAATTCAATACAAGTTATTGTTCAATTCAAGAATTATTATGTAGTACGTCAATGTGTATAGACATTCATGAGTTTAATTTATTAATTGATTCCCCGATGGTTGTGCATTCGATCAAAGTTAATTAACTGCTGCATAAAGTACATTTAATTAAGTCGAAGATCAAATATTGGCATATTCAATATTGCGTGCTCGTTTATGAATATCGGTATGCATCTGGACGTTGTTTGGGAGGGGGTGGAAGGATGATGAACATGTGAACTGATTTCGATAAATGTTTCGAGAATGAAATATCCCTGAATATATCCGACGCATCGTCGAGATTTATTATAATAATAGCAATTTATCGTCGGCAACGATCGATCCACGTTCGCGTCGACATGTTTCAGATTAATACAGAAACAACAACAACGGGCCGATGCGAATAGGCGGAAGGTAGAGCATACAAAACAACAGCAGGCAAACAACGAAAAAACAACAACAATAATACATTGTCATATGTACACGCTCGGTCCGTTATTTTATGTTCTGCAGTATTCACGCAAGCTGTGTTACAACTATGCATTTTTACATTCACTATTCTGTTTCTGAAAACAGACAAATCATTCTGAAAATATTGAAAAATATACATACATTCAAGAAAAACTATAGTAACTTATAGTTTATTTTAATTATTATAGTATTAGAAGAGATTACATTATTTCTTTCCCTACTATTTCTACTTCTAAATAGCACAATTTAAGGGTTAAAATTAGAAATGTCATATTTTTTAATCGATCAGAATTTGAGAAATAAAATCTATGTGTCAAATTATTTAAAATATTATTAATATCGTTACTAATTTTTGAGCTTTGCTACAATATTAATACTCTTTATTAATATATTTTTCTATGGAACTTTCCTTCATTTGAGATCATTTTTAAATGAAGCATATTAAAAACATATGCAAACTTTAGGGCAGAACAATGTTTCAATATTGTATTTTCACTTTACAGAACTTTCCATATGTTGTAACTGGAAAAATGTAAATTCTATTCCTGAAAAAAAAATGCACAATACACGTTCGGTGATGTGTAAATGTAAATCTGTACGTGTATACCAAAAAGCTTCAAATCGATAAGTAAATATTATCAATTTTGTAAAACCGTTCTTGCGAAGCGAAAATCGCTGTTCCTCTCCCAGCTTAATCAAATTGTAATCTATGTGTTTGCCCCATGGAAATACGCATTATCAAAAAAAAGCAAAGAGAAAAACAAAGCAAAAACTCGTGGGATGAAAAATAGTAGCACGGAGGAAATTAAATATCCATTTGGGATCGGAAACTAATGACCGTCCTCATTTCTTTTTCCGCCTCCTGCGATCATCAGAACCCGAAGAACGTTCCCGTTGTTCTTGGTCTTCTCTTGCTGGTGCTACCCTTTTTGCCTGCTACGAATCTCCTAGTGACTGTGGGTTTCGTCGTGGCCGAACGAGTCCTTTACATTCCGAGGTAACGTTTCTTGTAAAATGTACAATAAATAGGTCTTAATTTATTGTTTTTCTGATGTTCCTGTTCCAGCATGGGGTGTATTTTATTGGTGGTCTACGGCATGAACACGATGTGGGGTTGCTGCTCCCGCCACAGACAGACCGTAACATGCTTCGTGATATTAATGCTGACTGCGAGTTGTCTGCGAGTTGTGATCCGTAACCGGGATTGGAGGTCGAGGGAGTCCCTGCTGAGGTTCGCAAGATGAAACCCTTCCGCAAACATTCCCACTGAACCCTTCAATTGTTTTAGGGCCGGCATCATGACCCTGCCGCACAACGCCAAGATGCACTACAACTTTGGTAACTTCTTGCGCGACTCATCGCGACCCGAACTTGCCAGAACACATTACTTTACTGCTCTCAGGTAATCTCATAACCACTTTAGTTTTGTTTGCATTTAGTTTTTTTTTTATATTTACGTGTCAATTTATGCTTACGAAAGTTAAGCAACGCATCGCACGGGTTGGTGACCTTTCACGTACTTAATATTAATTAAATTTACATTTCAGTGTTTGTTCAACTATACGTACATGATTCATATCTATAATCTTACAAACCTACAGATATCCGTCAAAATTGAAGTATGAACTCCATTTCAAATCCCCATATATTTTATAACGAAGTGTACATTCATGCGAATGAAGAGATACAAGTTTATGCATACAAATTATAAATTTAAATCTCTTTTCCACATGTATCTTATGTTACGTTAAGTCCAACATTCAATGTAAATCCATTAATCATATTATGAGATCAACTACTTTGATGCGACATATTCCATATAATATTTGTTCCCTTTGATAAAAAAAGGTATACAACAAAAACGACCCTTACAAATCATCTTTTTTCCTTCATTTTTCGGGCTTTGTATGTAACTTAATACTGGTTGAATGGGGGAGAGTGGAGAATTCTAGAGTGGAAGCTAGTTCGGATGGGCATTGTTTCCGTTTTATGTTTAAGCCCGGAACGGGACGGATTTGAGGCATAAACAAAGTTCGTTATTAATATTGATACAATTAGGGATTATGTTACAGCTGTAGGGGCTCGTTTAATCTGACCGTACAACATTATCCATTCCAACTTATCATAATATATTCTGCGTTATCCCCGGATTATCCTAATGCATATCAAATATATTCAGTTCAACTTTTCTACTGCCAAATTGCCTAATTAAACTTCTATGCAGGAAGTTACCCTGATTTATAGTTATATTTTATGTATATTTACATTCAAAAATAATTTACATTTTTGTACCTTTCTTCAGTATTTTCATAATGTACATTAAATATAGTTATTAAAATTTGGTAGTAAATAATTACAATTTAATAATAATTTCAGTATAATTATCTAAACCATGACCTAAATATATTCTTGTCAATATTGCTTAAGTATAAAAATCACTGATAGATATTGAAGTTTATGAAGAGGGAAGAGCTTTCATAAGTTGATTTAAAACTGTGATATTATACCCGAAGTGTGCCGTCTATACTAATTACATGTTTCTTTTGGACCTGCATAGACTGTGGCCTACATATGCCAGCGCTCACAACAACTTGGGAACATTGATTGGAGATGAAGAGGAAGCCGAGAAACACTTTCTGCTTGCAATACGTTATTCCGTGGATCACGTGAACGCTCATTACAACCTGGGACAATTATATAGGTGAGTTTTCGGTGTTGCACGACCTGCTTTGGTTCAGGTGGATCCGGTGAATATAAGTAATTGCTCGTTGCAGGAAATCCAACAGAAGTGCAGACTCCGAAAGGATGCTGAGGCGCTGTTTGAAAATCGAACCGCACTTCACGCCTGCCTACATCGAGTTGGCACGCTTGAAGGGATCCAGGGATAGGTCAGTTGGTGCCCTGTTGAGGAGGACCGTCCAGCTGAATCCCCACAATCCGCACTACATAACGCTTTACGCTCAATGGCTATTGGAAAAAGGTGATTTTTGCAGAACTATTTTATACAGTGGTATTCAAACTTTGTTCTCTAGAGAACGCAAATCCTCTTTTACAAAAATAGAGATGGAGTTTTATAAATAAACTATAATTTTGGGCTGCCTAATCTACATGGAATAATGAAGTCTGATGCTGGTGGGACAACATAGTATATTGCTTAAATCAATTTGGAAATTAATTATTCAATGTATTGCAGCTATAATTATATTAAATCCGCCACTGATTTTTACTTATTAACGTAGCGAAACAAATATATAATCTTATGGGATTACTGAGTAGACAAAAGTTGAATCCACTGGTTTTGTAGAATAAGATTAACGGTCGAGCATCGAACATGTGTTTACTTATAAACACAATCTTGCAAAGCCGTAGATCTTTCCATGTCAGCAAATAAATAATTGTGTTGGTGTTTAGGAAACGCAAGGTTATCACTGAAATATTACTGGAGGTCGTTATCAGTTTCACCCACTTATTTGGAGGGCGTAATGGGGGCCACGAGGATCCTGCGGAAATTCGGAGATCACGCGAGGCTCTTCCAATTAATCACAAGGTACTTACTTTCCGTCTAGCATCCGGCATGTTTCAAGTTTTCACCCATAAATTTTCTTTCCAGGTACCAATGCATGCTGCGGCTGCGAAGAGGTCAGATGCCACTCAGCCCACACATCTACCTACAGGGTTGGCACCTCAAGAGCGAACTCACCAACAAAGCCAAAGCATACGACAACTGCCAGAATCGATACGTCAGTATAATAGATAAAAGGCATAATGCGCCAGCAATAACAATATGTGTATTTGTAGGGCGATAAATGCGTGAAAACGAAAACCAACAACTTCCCCGCGGAACAACCCAAATGGTCCGCGAAGCTGAAGCTTAACAACAAAACGAAAGTCGGAAGCGTCAGGAGTGAAGGCGTCAATAAACAATGCAGCAAAGCGGGAGACAGGAAAATTAAGCATCGACCTTCAACTCCGATCATGGTCCATCACATTCTGGATACAGTATAAATTCTCGTGATGCAAACAAAAACACCACCCACAAATAACACAAGCGTAAAAAGCTACACATTAACACAGAAACCAAATTTGCCAACTCATTAACAGTATTCCTGATTTTGCATTCACGTCCTATGGGCTCACGAAAAAATAATTAAAAAATACAAATCTATACATAAATTAATTCTACTATATACATAACGTTTATATATGATACTATAAGCAAATTAAGATTGAAACAGTATTATAATATTAAAGGACTCAATTGAAGAAAACTGTAGCTTAAGTGTAACATTAACGAGACAAAGGTTATTTTATTAAAAATTCAAGGATGTTTGGATACACGAATTGTGATTACTAGTGTAAATAAGTTAAGTTATCGATGATATTGAAATAAAGTGCTTTTCTTTCGGTTATCCACAGATGGTTCTCCCTTTAATTTTATCAAGTGTTTAATAGTCGGTATACCCGGATTGATGTGGGATAACAGAAGTAGTAAATAGGTGATATCAGTTATAGTTATGTTTCCGCATTTTGGGGCCATTCACACAGTATACTAAAAAAAATATTTACCTAACAAAAAGAAAAAAAAACACGATTTATTTTATGCAAAATTTGAGATGTTTGTATATTTTGGATTAGTTTTAAGGTATGTTAATCTCTGGCTTTATTGATTCAGAGAACCGACGATTGTATAAACTGTATAGTTTTTTGATATTAACTAAATAAATTTAATGTGTAAGTTTAATATATGGTAATAAATATATATATTGGGAATTCGAAAGATAATTATATGGAATTTTTGTTGACAATATTAATATAATATCATTAAGGAAGCAACAAAGTCGCTTGTTTTATATTCAACAAATGATATAAGTAACAATTGATAAATCACTCGATATATATTTATATTAATTGCAAAAAAAATGAGATCAAAGATGAATGCTATAATTTACTGAGCAATATTTTATATATTCTGTCAAGTTTGTATTAATTTATTAATGTATCCATTAATACTGTTATGAAATAAAGTTTAGATTTCGGATGAACAATAGCAAACAGACAGTCATTTGCAGATAAATCCTTCTAGTAGGCAAATCAATTAAATAAGCTTTATTAATAACAATACTATTATGTTTTCGTACCAGATATGTTAAGAAAGTAAATATTTTATATTGCTCACAATTATCGCTCATTTTATTTTTTTAATATTTAAACATTTTATAAGTATATATACTATTATAATCAAAGACGTAGTCACTAGCAGCCTAATAAATGTATTTTATAAAATTATAATTAATCATTACAAACATCAGCGCTCAATCTTTGCAACCTCAAGCTTCTGAACTATTCCAAAGGATGGCGCAGCAAGTATAATGCTTTGAAATAAAATTGAGAAAGTTTTGTTTTTAACACTAGATGGCAGCATATGGTTTACATCTCAATTTCTAAGAATTTCATTACAATAGTTTTCAATTCCAAAGCCATACACTGCTGTCTTTATCTACTTTTTAAATAATTACGTAACATAAAATCAAGAATTAATTTAACAAATATGTTTATATAATGTAATATGTACACAGATTTTTATATATTATTGATGCAGTTAAGTAATATGTATAATTTTAAGAATATATTTGTAATTGATCAATTTAAATTAATTAATTTTGCTTGTTATAAATTATGTTCAACTATAATAAATATTTGATTTTATTGCTATGTTTTTTGTATTTTCTGTGATGAAATCACGTTTATTCTTTGATTTGATGTAGAAAAACTAGGATAAGGTGTATTTAATGGTTGATCAATTAGTAACAAAAGGTGACCGAACACAATGTGGAATGAAAGTGAGTAAAAACTAGTAAAATATAAGAAAAGAGTATATTTTGGAAATTGTAAGTATAAGACCGTCGTTCCTATAAAAATCGCATTATAGAAGACCATAAAATATTGATTTGGAATTTCTGAAAGCATGAACAACAAGGAAACAATCGGCGATAGGTTAGTAAACATATTTGCACGCCACTTTAATTTACCATTGGCGGTCGTGTGCAATCGAATGAAAGTACCGGAGAAAGTATAAAGCCGGATCTTTTTGATCGGAAACAGTTAGTTCCTATCAAAATGCGGCTACAGACAAAGCTAATCGGAAGTCTGGCGTTGATTGGTTCCATCTCGTTCGCATTACGTTTCGACGCTCTGAAAACATCATCAAATATCGGATATGGAAAAGATAATAAGGATGGGTATCATCTGGAGATGGGGCACGAATCCTCCAAGGGACACAGCAAGGAAAGTTACAAGGATAAGGGAAGAAAAGGGGAAGACTTGAAGGGAGTGCTTAAAGGGTTCCACGATGAAGACGGTGGTAACAGCAAGAGGTACCATAACGGCAAGGACCAATTCCAGAAGCATTTCAAGGGAAGACAAAGCCATAAAGGTGGCAAATTTGGGGAGAGGAAAGGTCACAAGAAGGGACATAAAACCAAAGGATACCATAACAAATTCTATAAGGATGAATATATTAAGGAGCACAAGTTTTACGATGATTACCACAAGAGCGGCGAGTACAGCAAATACGGTGACAGGCAGAGCGGTTTCAAAGCCGGAGATGGTGACGGAAAGAAGGGTCATGGGTACAAAAAATCCGAAGATTCAAGCAAGTTTGGTAACAAGGGCAACAGCGATCATGGTCATCGGATAATCGAAGATTCGGGATACGACGTGAACGAAGGAAAGGAAAAGAAGCACGAGCATTACAACGAAGGAGGCAAAAAAGGTGAAACGCGCAAAGGCAACCGTTACCTCTACAGCTCGTGAAAGTGAAATAAGCCATAATCATGCATATTATTTTTTTATTTTGTTACTATATTATTTTATATCAAACCAAAAGTAAAATATAAATATTATATATAAAGAAAACAACAAACAATTTATTAATTTGTCCAAGAAAGTGGTGTGTCGATGTAGACTTTTACTGATGTATTTGGTTTCGGTGGGTCGATGACTGGATTATTATCTTCGCCTAAATAAGAGCAATAAGGGAGTTCGTAAACCATCCTCATTTTCAAACGGTCGCACAGCGTAGCCCTGCAGAAAATATATACTGAGTTTCTTTGCTCGTTCTTAAGATTAATACGTATTACGTGTGGACGTTTGTTGCGTCAACGCGGACAATCCTAAACCCAGTATCTGCAGCTAAATCACGCGACGCTCTGACCAACCTTCCAGCTACTCCTTTCCTCCTATCGCTTCGCCTCACAAAAACATTCGCCATCTAAACAGAATAAAGATAAAATGAACTCCTTACTCATTATATATGAATTGCCTAGTAACTTGTCTTTGCACAAATACTTCAAGTTGTAGGTATGCTTATATTATTTAAATGAAGTGCAGTTGTTAAGAAAATATAGAGATTATCTACATCCGCGACTTCTGTTATTAGAAGTGGAATAACAAAAAAAAACATTTCTTAAAAACTTGTATCTACGATTAAAAGAAAATGAAAAAAAAGTTGCTTAAGATGTTTGCGACTATGTAATAGTCGTTAAGTAACTTTTGAAGTATTCCATAGAGAATATTGTATAAGTATTTCCATTTATACCTGAATGAATAGAAGTTATTAGGTAAGTTTTGCGTAATGAGTAGCCACATCTACATTATATAAGAGAAATCCCGTTTATTTAAAGTGGTTGCACTACACGTGCAAATTCTCTTATCAGTAATGCTGACGGACCTTTAGATCATCAAAAATGAAATAACTTACTTCAAAAACTTGCAGGTCGCAATATCGTTCCCATAATCTGGGGACCTTTTGGAGATAAGCAAAGAACATGAACAGCTTTGTCATCTTATCGTCGCTCAACGTGCATGCGAACTTCTCAGTCATCTTCGGATCCCAAGGCACGGTTATTGAGTTCAGCGAGGCTCCGACCAGTGATCCATTGTATTTGCACCTAGCCACTATGCTGTATCCCTGGGCGAGGACTTTCAAAGCTTGATCATCGAACACCGAGTTCCTGTTCCGACCTAGACCAAGGAAGGACGTGGTCGGCTCATCCGGATAATAGGCGTCCCACATTAGGTCCAGGATATCGCAAGCCTCCGACGTTGCGGCCCTCGTGACAATGAATGGATCGTCCATCTATGGATCACCGAAATATGACATAATACACCACACACACAAAAAAACCGAATGATTATCTTTCTCCCATTGTTGGATTGGATTAAATTAAATTAGATTGTGTGCATTGTGCACGGCTGGATGTGCATCCATTCCGCGGGATCAAATAATTTCCCGTGGGAATTGCGCCGACGTTATTTAATTTATATCATTTTGTTTTAATCCCTTTTCCGAATCGGACGCACACAAATAAAATATTGGAAGCTGCAATGTGCCATTTTTTTTCATGTTGTTGCTCTATTATTGTTTAACCTACTTTAGATTTCGCAACGGTAATTCAATATTAAATCACTGTGCAGTAGATGGGGGTTTGCAATTGGCCGCAGGTCTTTAAACATCCGAGGATAATTTTCTATAGTTGGTGATTAATTCAGGATGTACGTATTGTTGGGGAGTTAAATTATACTTGAAGCGAAACTGTTAATTAGAAGACCTGGGAATTACACGGCACAGCGTAAATCAGCTTTACGATCATTTTGTTAATGTCGGTACACAATAAACATGTCTAATTACATATATGCACCTAAATCACGTGCTAACCTACATGATTTTGTTTAATTGTAATAAATGCAGTTCCATTTACAAACATATTTGTTTACCATAAGTCATGTATAAACAAATAAAAAGTAACAATTTGATGATAAATTTCGTGATTATTCAATGTGTTTTTTAATAAATTCTTAGAAAAAAATAATTTTACAGTTATTTTTCACTTTTACTAATGGTTTATAACTAGTTTCTTGAAATCTATGTGTTTGTGAAATATAAATAAAGTTTTATAAATTTGGCTATGATCAATACATGAATATGTGAAATTATATAAGTGACAAGTAATAACGAACTAATTGAAATAGTTTGAAACTTTCTTTGTACGTATAATATTATGGTAATTTGTATTTTGGTCGCTAATATTCTATTTCTTTGTTTATTGATTTGTGGCCAACGTCCAAAAAAACTCAGATTTCATCTTATATAATATTTTCTCTGTTTGAGCGTACAGTCACGCTTTTTGTCTTATTACAAACCATAGAATTCACATAACCATACTAATACACAATAGTATCAAATAACTTTCATTTGGTTTGATGGATCTTTCCTATATTGAAATAGAATAAAAATTAAATGATCTCACCGGTTTTGGTTTACTGAAGAAATTCATTTTCTGTACATTTGACCTGGTGGACGGAATCCAAAATTTCGAGCAGAGTTTCAGAACGGAGGCCATCGCGCTATCACAAGAATTTAACTCGAAATTTGGAGCTTTGTAGTTTCGCTGCGAATTTTGACCTACATCGAAAGTTGAACGTGATTTGAAAATTTTGACTCTGACATATTTTTATCGGGTGTCAACTGATCAAATTTTGCGCGGATATGTCGATTCCTTGCCGACGAAATTTTTACGTAACGTTTTGAAACGGTCTGAAAACCATCGTTTTGGCCATTCATTGTGTATTACGTGTGAAATTTACGAGAACGGAGGGGAACGAGCAGAAAGAAAGAGCGAAAGAAAAATAAATAGCGCACGCAAGAAGGGAAGGCGTTCTGTGATGATTTGCGTAATGGAAAAACCGCAAAGAGATTTGTGAGTGGGTGGGTGAGTTTCTGATCCCTTCCCAACTGGGTCTGCCCAAAAAGGTGCCGTTTATAAATGGACCCGCGTTATAGAGTCTGGACACATTTCGCGATAAATTATCCGGCGAGTGTATACTTCGTTCCTAAAGCTCTTCCTGCTACCATTGCTCCTCCTCTTCGACCAACATGCGGACAGCAATCCTTCTCGCTTTCGGTGCTGTACTTGCAGCACAGGCTTTCCCACATTCTGGAGATACGAATGTCGTCGAATCCATGATCCGTGAAGTCCGGGCCGTTGCTCCCGATGATTTGGCTGATCTTATAACCAAAGGTAAGGATAACCAAATATTTCATTTAAATAAATACAATCACAATCGTTTTAACATACTTATAATATATTATATATAACAACAAATGTACGTTCGTATGAACATGAAGTACGTATATGCGACTGGACTTAGCATTTGAAAATTTGAATAAACCTTATGTATGTTAAGTGAGGTCTAACTGTAACCATTGCTGTCAATGATTTGGATGATAATTTAATTAAAAATAGACACAAACATATATTTAATCTATTATATAATAACATCATTGTCCTATTTAAGTAGTTTTTACTTAATGGTAAACTGACGACAACAGTGTACGTATGTGCGAATGAAGAGACATATATGTACAGAAATTGTCTAATTTAATACGACAAATTGAGTCAACTGAGGTATGATTGTAATTACTGCAATTAATATATTTTTCAAGTCTAAGATCTGTATTACGCAACGAGATACGAAACATTTCTAATTGAAAGAGATTTAAACGATAATGCGGTTTTTCGCTTGGCGACGCGTTAAATTACTATTACAATACCGCTTTCTTCGTCATATTCCAAACATGTTTGTTTAAATCAATTGTTTCATAATACTTTCATGTATTACTTAATAATACTAAAAAATCTATATATTAAGCAATCAACAATTTCAGTACAGAAACTATTTGTTTCATAGATTTCATTTAAATTTGTAAAGAAATTATTAACGAAACATTGAAAATATACCCAATTCATTAATATTTATAGACAAGTAACTGATAATGTTCTCATTTGTTACATAATATTGTACATTATACTTAACACCTATTTGTGCTACGCAAGTAACGTGTCATGTAAGTATTTTCAAGGACTAAGGTAATAAGTCCCTTGAAACCTTTATACTTACATCAACACATAGAATGGATGTTAATTTTATATAATAAATATCCGGTTAAGGAATAAAATTTAACCATTATTTTGCTATGAATTCAAATACGATTTAACTAAAGATTTTGCTTAATCTTCAAATTAGTCAATCTTCTCTTTATAATAATGATGCTCATCATTATCTTCTATTTAATTAGACTGTTATATATTATGATTTGTCAAAAATACTGAAATGTTTTATTATATAAAGCAATAAATATATTATTTATCGGTGGGAATCGCAAGGCCGACAACCGATATACAAGTCAATCAAAATCCCGACGTTCGAAATCTCGACTGTATCGAAATCTCGACTGTATCGAAATCTCGACTGTATCGAAATCTTGACTATAACAAAATCCCGACAACCATAATCCCGACTATATCAAAATCCCGACTATATTGAAAATGTCTACAATAATATTTTTAGTCAGTTTTAAATTGTTATTAATAATGTATAACAACAATTAATAATCTATTTGTATTTGAGATTATTTCATAATGTTAAGGTTTATTATGAATAATTCAACAAAATCAATTAAATTATTGTTATTAATAATAAAAATGTAGCACAAGGTGACTACTCTCCGAAATAATTTAAAAATGATATTGTAGAAATTTTGATATAGTCGGGATTATGATTGTCGAGATTTTGATACAGTTGGGATTTCGGTTCTCGGGATTTCCATAGACGGTAATTCGGTTATCGCACTTTCAATATAGACCCATTATTTATATGCAATTCGCTTACATTTCTAGTAATAATTGTTCATTTGGTTGCATATATCAAAATTGAAAAGAAATCAATTTATTATTGTGTAACATTGATGCGCGAGACTTAAAATATTATCAGCCGAAATAGCTCAGTTGGGAGAGCGTTAGACTGAAGATCTAAAGGTCCCTGGTTCGATCCCTGGTTTCGGCAATTAATTTTATTTGAATACGTCACAACACCTATAAAGTACAACTCCTACCTATTTTTATAAATTGTGTGTCATGTTATCAATTGTTCTATTAATCTAAGCTTTACTTATGATTGAATTGATTACTAGAAATATCTATAGATTACAACCATGCTATTTCATTCAGTTTAGTTTATCCCTTTTCGAATCTATATTTAACATAGATTTCATTATTTTGTATGTTTATAATTGCTTTTCGTGTACAAATATCTAAGTTAAAGACATCAATTTGTTAGCACGGTCTGCACTTATTTAATGTAAATTCTTTTAAACTATGATCCGTAATACGTACAATATTATTCACTTGACCGAACTAACGTACAAGTATTTGACTTTAATTTTCATCTTGATTTGGATATGTAGTTGATTACGTTATGTAGAAATAACTCAGTTTATTGAAAAAGATTTGTAGAATCTTAATAGAAAATGTGTCTCCAAGTAGTATAGTAATTTATTGTTATGTTCGTTAATACGTACATTATTATTTAATGTGACTGAATGAACCTATTTGTACATGCATATGGGAATTTAATATCTGATTATAGTACATTCGCTTAGTGTATGGCAATTTGTGTATACAATATGTACGTTAACCAAGCGCAGAGTTTAGTTGTTATTGATACTTAGTCTATGAAATAATTAAATTAGGTATTAAGATTAGATGACTTTGAATAATAAAATACTAACTTATTCTTATTTATATGCAATTAATTCGAAACCATAATTAACAAATGTATTAAGTAATTAAGGATCACTAATTTACTTTGGATGTTTTGCAGATACTAAGAAAGCGTTTTTGCACACTTACGGTGACGACGATGACAACGAGCAAGGATACAACAAGAAGGTTGATGATGAAGGGGGTAAAGGTTACAAGCACTTTGATAGTTACCACAAGAAGGACAGTGACAAATACGGGTTCGAAACTCAGACGGCGTTTGGGAAAGGCGAAGGATCCGAGACGGAGGCTGGAAGTAAATCCGGAAAGTACAGCGAGACGAAGGAAGACGATGGAGAAGCTGGTAATCAATGTGCAATTATAAATGGAGACAATACAAATTGCCTTAATCCACTTAAAACGATTACAGATAAGAGCGAGGATACAGAGGAGGACGATGCTGACGATGAGGACGAAGAGGAAACGAAACACTCGTACAAAGTTGTCGAGGATGTAGATGAGTGAGTATCGTAAACAAAAGTAGTGCTCTATGCAGATCAACAAAATGTTTTCGTTCCGACCAATTCCAATTGTTGTTTCCTTTCATCCTAACATTTTGTGATTTTAACCTGAATGTTGTTTTATTTACGTTTTTATTTTTGTTTTTGGAACGGAATAAAATTGCATTTCATTGAAATGTGAACTGTTTTTGCACAAAGGAAATTCGAACATCAAATATATAATATTCGGCTTTTACCGCTGTTCCAACTTACACCACAATAAATGTAATTACAGCTTTGTTCGGTAAACTGACATTCAATAACGTTTCAAAACTACGATTAAATTATATAAATATCAAGCACACTTCAGTTCCATTTTTATTATTCTAGACACTTAATTAAAATCATAATTTCGTACTGGCTTTAAGCGACGCCATTATTTCATGAAATCTGAAATGTTATGAACACATTTCACGCGATTCGAGTTTCATGGGTTTTAGGAACGGAAGAAAGGAAAGGCGTCGCGTTTAAAATAATTATGTGGCTTAGGCCCGACAGATGTGAGCCAAATCCTGTGTCTTCCAAGTGGACAGCATGTAAGTCCATCCTCAGAACTATTCAAATCCGGCTAGCTTCCTGACATCCAACTAAATTCTGATACAACTACATTTATTACAGATTTTCAACTCTAAAAGGGTTTTACTGTAACATGTTTTAGGTCATTCATATATGACAGATTGTTTCGTTAGTTTTCTAACCACAAATCAAGTCATTTTATTTTAAAGCATCGACTATACTAATCATTATAGACTATCTACAAATGATTCCGTTACTAAAAATAGTCACTAGTTACGCAACTCAAACAACATACACGAGGATCCATAATAGTAATGCAATCTAAAATTTCATTCAAAAAAACTTTGTATTACGAAAGCAGTTTCATCTCTATTTTGTTTTTCTGATAATAGAAATAACATAGTATTTTGATAATCTATAATCTCACATCAACGCTTTTAAATACTTTAAAAAATTAAACAAATATATTTTCTTATTTCGTTTAAAATTACTGCATCTTGAAGATATAATAATGTTATATAATAATTCATAATGTCATTCAAAATTATTCAGAAATACAAGGATGAATATAACAATAAATGTTACTTTACTTAATATTCTTATATAAATATATAAGAAATCCCAGTAGTTTTACATAAATATAATCATTTCTTTTACATGACAAAATTAGTTTCACTTGGAACTAAGATTTGATGAGTGCGCCATCACAATAGATATGTATGTATAATCGAAATCTCTTGTGTAAAGGATAGGACGAATATATCCGCCTCTCGTCTTCAAAGGGAGTTTAACATTTCTATACAATAATAATAAAATAAAAAGACAACTGTTGCAAACGGCTATTGTCTTTCTGCCCTTAGTTTAATAATAACTAAATTCTATAAAATTAAACATTACAGTTATTCTCGAAATTTATTACGTAACTACGTAATGTTAAAAATGACAAATTAATTTTATGTATAATAATATATGTATAATATGTATATATAATATATGTGTATATAATATATGTAATTATGTATAAATATATAAATTATATGATTAGTAGAAAATTAATCAATTTTTATTTAAGCATTGGTCAAAATCTGACTCTTATATTACTTATAATTAATTAAAACTTTATTTTTAAAAAATGAACAAGTTATAATCTCAAATTAAATTACTTACATAAGCCTTTGAGTGAATCAAATTTTATATTAAATTGATGTTAAATATTATATAATAGATCATAATACTGCTAAGCACTTAATCCCTCTTTACTAACTTTATCAAATGCGTGGAAACTTTCCGATACAAGTATATAATTTATGAAACATGCTCGATAAAGCATCTTTATTGATGCGAAAATACGTTTATTATTTACAAAGAACGAATAAAAATAAACGACTTTATCGCATGGTTTGCGACTGGATATCCACAGTGATGAACTCGATTATTTCGAAAAAATAAAATAAAATCACAAGTTCCGTATGTTTCAATCGTCGTCGTATTTTTACTTTTATCTTTCCTGTCTAGATAATATGCAATTTTATTTTATGAATGTTTCCATACATTGTAACCATTTAAATATGTATTACTACTTACTCGTATTAGAATTTCAGTTATTGATTTTTTTTTATCAGCGATTTTGTTTTAATCTTAAAATATCGTTTCTTTTTAGAAGAAAGTACATATTATTTAATACAAATTTATAAAATATAAAATACTACTTTTCTATTGAAGACGTCAATTGAGTACTTGATGCTTAACAAAAGTTAAGCAACGTGATGAGTGAATGTATTAGGAATATGCACGACTCTAGTATAATCATATTGGAGGAAAATCTACTAACATATAATATTGGTCATTTTATGGAATTTGTCAATTGGGTACTTGATGTTTAACATCTCACAAAAGTTAAGCAACGTGATGGGTGCGATTATTAGTAACTGAAGGACTTGAGGGTAGAGATCTATTAACTTATAATAGTGGTCTTTTTATACAATATATCAATTCAGTACTTGATGTTTGACATTTCACAAAAAATAAGCAACGTGATGGATGCGATTATTAGTATCTGAAGGACTTAAGGGTAGAGACCTATTAACTTATAATAGTCGCCTTTTATGTAATACATCAATGCAGTACTTCATGTTTAACTTTTCACAAAAGTTAAACAACGTGATGGGTGAGTTTATTAAGAACTAAAATAGTTAAGGGTTGAAACCTATTAACTTATAATAGTCGCCTTTTATGCAATACATCAATTCAGTACTTGATGTTTCACATTTCAAAAGTTAAGCAACGTAATGGGTGAGTTTATTAGAAAGTGAAGGAGTTAAGGGTTGAAACCTATTAACTTATAATAGTGACCTTGATTGATGCAATACATCAATTTAGTACTTGATTTTTGACATTTCACAAAAGTTAAGCAATGGGTGAATTTATTAGAAATATGCATGACTGAATAATAATTTATGATCATTTTGGAAGGATATGTAATACCTTACAATTACAGAATACATCAATTTGGTACTTCATATTTAACATCTTAGAGAAGTTAGGCAACATGATGGGTGACTAATACCTTTGCAATCTCAAAATAAGTTAAATCTTTATTAGAAATATACACTTCATAGTTAATGACAATTTGACAAAACTCCCCAAGAATTTTAATTACTTCTGTAAATCATTTAGACATTTTCCTTAACTATTATCAAAATCAGCTGTTAAATATCAAATACAGAATTATTGCTTCATCATCAACAGTACATAAACACATTATTTGATCATTCATAGATCGCAGTTAAATAGATGATTTTAACAACGCAATGGATTATCACAATGATTGTGTAATGTGATACGCAATGTCGGCTATTCGAAGGTTTATTTAATTAAATCACTGTGTAAATGAGATTATCCAATCCAAACGTATTTTTTCAATTGAGTAAATTATCCGATAAATGCACATACAATATGTATGATTTTCTAAAACCAAAAGTTTAACTTTATAAATATTTTATCAATTACAACTACTTTCTAGTAAATTTAAAATCTAAGAAGAATGTTAAATTTTAAATATAATTTTCATAAATAATGGAAGACAAAAAATTACTACATTTTAATATTGTTTATTTTTTATGAAATAAAGAATCATATTTAGATTCACATTTTACCGTTTTTTCATTACTTTTTTAAAAAATCGACTTTAAAATGCTTATTTTTCAATTTCAACAAATGTGAAGTATTATACCAAGAGTGATGATTTAAATTTTATATCAAATAATCGTGTATGTTCAATAATTAATGTTTTATTCTATGAAGGAATTTGTAAAAAAATATTATTTTATGTAATGTAGTAGCAGGTAGTTATGTTAGTATTTATTTATGATTGCAGTTACGAAGCGATAAAAAAATATCGATGTTTATATATTTATAAATAATGGATGATAGCATTACTGCAATATTTATAAAGTGCAGACAGTCTCTATCAGCTGCAGAAATCAAACATATTTCATGCGTTATACAAAAAAAAATGTTTTTATATGTAAACATGTTGCGATAAATATTATTATTTAATTAAAATGGATTTAAAAATAATAATTTATTGTACTATATGGAGGTACAAAGTACTAAAGTAATGATAAATTATTAAAAATACAAAAATAATGTAAATAAATCACGAAAACAGAATTAATTTCCACGAATAAACAAAGGAAGAAAAAAAATAGATAAGTTAATCCTCGGGAAATAAATAATTTATAATATTTAGAAAATTAAAGGAAACGAGGGAAAAAATGATTAATGTATTTTGTATCGATCAACAGGGACGGTGAGAGTGGACATTACACCGAAGGATCCGAAGGATACAATTCGTCAGGTAACGGTTTTTATTTTAATATCATCCTATTTTAGTTGTAGATAATCGTTTTTTGATATATATTCAATAAATTGTTTTGTTGTTGACAGATGTATTAAAATTATATATTAATTATCTGGTTACGTAATGATAATAAAAAAATAAAGTGTCAATCAAATTTTGACAGTTGGAAAATAACATAAAGCTTGTTTGGTTCATGATCAAGAACAAAGAAAGTTTCAATGACATTTTGACAATTGTAGGAAAATGACTTAATGTTTTATTCATTATATACGTAATGGTAATAAACAAAAAATGTGTTAATCAAATTTTGACAGTTGTAGGAAAATGACAGAAAGCTTCTCTAGTTACATAATGATAATGAACACAGAAAGAGTCAATGAAATTTTGTAGGAAATTGTACAATTGTAGGAAAATGTTGTAATGCTAGACTCCCTAGATAAAAAAAAGTTTACATCAGATTTTAACAGTTGCAGGAAAATGACAAAAAGCTTCTCTAGTTATGTAATGACAATGAACAAAGAAAAGGTCAATGAAATTTTGACAATTGTAGGAAAATGTCTTATTACTATCTTATACTCTCTAGATATAAAAAGTTTCAATCAAATGTTGACAGTTGTAGAAAAATGACAGGAAGCTTTTCTAGTTATATAATTATAATGAACAAAGAAAGTGTCAATGAATTTTTGACAATTGTAAGAAAATGACTTGATGCTAGACTGCCTAGATAAAAAATGTTTCAATCAAATTTTGACAGTTGCAAGAAATTTGAAAGTAAGCTTCTCTAGTTTTATAATGATAATAAACAAAGTAAGTGTCAATGCAATTTAGTCAATTGTAGGAAAATATCTTATTACTATACTATCTAGATATAAAAAAAATTCAATCAAATGTTGACAGTTGTAGGAAAATGATAAGAAGCTTTCCTAGTTATATAATAATGTTGAACAAAGAAAGAGCCAATGAGAATGGATAAAGTGTCAATAAAATTTTGAAAATTGTAGGAAAGTGACTTAATGTTATATTCCTTAAAAACGTAATAATAATGAACAAAAAAGTGCTAATCAAATTTTGACAGTTGTAGGAAAATGACATAAAGCTTATCTGATTACATTAGGAATAAATACATTGTTAATCAAAATTCTAATCCAGGGTATAATGATAATGTTAAGTAAATTCGTAGCTAAAATTCGTGTATAATATTCAAATCTTGATAACTATTTATTATTATAGCTTTATCCACTACTTCCATTTGGGGATTTTTGATTATTCCCTTATATGTAACATTTATCTAACTATTGTTAGGTTTTAGAGAAAAACTTTGATTAATATGTGGATAATCCATATAATTAAACAAATTTCTACTACTAATATAAATATGATTTTGTATTTACTACGTAAATTTTAAGTCAAACAATTCAAATATATAGATTTATCCTTCAATTGTTTCAATATTATTTTGTAAACTAAATATTAAGTCATTTTCTATTTGTTTATGTAATTATAAATTATTAGTTTCTAATTGACAGGAATTTGAATGATTTCCAAGCAAGTTAAAAAGGAGATACGAAATTGTCCTATTCGCATTAGCTTAATTACGAAATGCAGCGGAATTGATAATTTTCCACGTGCGTTCATTGCATTAACATTATCGGTGCTAATTACGGTCTGATTGTGTATGCAAACTCATAATTGGTAGGAATCCATTGATTCGAAACGATCCACAAACATATGCCAATCCAAACCAAATATTAGTTAACAGCAATAAATTTGCGCAAAGCTCTATTGTAACAACACTAATCAACGAATATTTTTAATCAGCAGATTTCAACGGTGATGATGACGACAGTGAATCCAAGTCTTACCACCCAATCGAAGCAGATGAAGACGACGAAGACGATGATGATCAGTAGAAATGTTACCAATTTACAAGAGTTGTTATAAATAAATAAAACTGTTGAATATTAAAACCAAAAGCTTTCATTAAAATCATCATTTCTTTAAAAAAAGAGCATATAAACAAGTTAATTAAACTTGAAGGAAGTAACAGCAAAAAAATAAGTTATATGATGAAAATAATAAAATGCAATGTGTATTTATTCTCTTGCAAGCAAATGCGGATTAAAAAAGAAATGCAATTTGCATGTAAATGAAGAAGTCAATTAAGTCGAAAGCAATTATTGCGGAAAGAGTGGCGCCTCTTCCTATGCAGCGAAGGAAGTCACCGAGAATAAAAAAAAATTGTGCCGACGGATGAAGATGAATAAGGAAAAAGCATTTGAGGGCGGGAAAAGTTCAAAATTAATTTTAGCAAATGACTGGAATTCGGACGGAATCAATCTGAAACAATTCCGTCTGCAATTAGATTTTTTTGGGAAGGGGGAGAAGGGTTGAGAAGCGTAAGGGATGGCGTAGGGCGAGGAAACTTTTTAATCCTTTATCATTTTGCCCGCAACATCGTGCCGGATATGAAAAAAAGGACCGCCGTTATCTCTTCCGTTCTTGTGATTTCGTCCATTTGCGGAACTTGCTTTAAAATAATTACGAAACTTTGAAACTTATCGATTCAATCATTCTGCGTGTCAGCCATTCAGATCATGATTTTTTAAGATTTTTTTTTATTTATATACATTTTTCACTTTAATTTATTATTTTTATTATTTGTTTTCTTATACTTATAAGAAACTTAACTTCGTTTCTTTCGGCACGCTCCTTGGAACCGGTATTTTGAGCGGGCTTGTTGGTTTTTTTTGTTGTTCTATGTATTCTAATTGTGATTTTGCATCCAATTCATCATTTTTGTTTTGATTTTTTTCAATGTTATTTTCCCTTTTTATTTCCTCTGGGACCCTGTTATAGTGTATAACGCCCTGCACCAGCAAACTCTTGTTCATTATATCGGTTGAATTTTTTCTATCATTATATTTCGTCTTGTTTTCGTGTTGTGATCATGGGTGTCGCAGTCGCATTTCGTTTTTTTTTATTAAATCAGGCTTTATTGAATATTACATATTTTTTATGAAAATCTCATCTATTAATAAATTGTTTTAGATTTTTTTTCTAGATGTATTAAGGTTATCGTGGGGCCCCAAGCACCAGTTAAGTTAAGAATCTATTTTAAATATTTTTCAGTTTTCCATGAATTCGTGGGCCCCAATAGTCTCGTGAGCCCTAAAAGTCTCGAGAGCCCCAAAACACTCTAGGCCTAATGTATTTAGTATGCATGTATTTAGTTTATCCATTAGTCCGGTTTTAAACAGTCCGAGTGGATTCGATTACATGTGAGGCTTAAATTAATTTAATTAAAATTTTAGAAAAAAATCATAACAAATATAATATTAATAACAATGTAAACATATTTTTATCAGAATATAGAATATAAAGAAAATATAAAAATTTTATGATGTTTTTTTAAAACATTCTGATCAATAATTTTTGGAAATGATAATTCTGATTAATAAAATGCGAGAGATTGGCTTAAATTATCTTAAAAACAAGGAATATTAATAAATACGTAATAAATTATTGAATTTGTAATTGTACAAATCTTAAAAATAATTTAATTCTTCCTTATACAAAATATAAATAATTTAGCAATTCTTACAATCAAAATCTAGAAATATTAATAAGGAAAATTAATTGACAGTTCTAATTACAGTAAGACGTTCCGTTCCAAAGGGTTGTTCGTAAGTCGAATTTGTTCGTTAGTCGGGGGAATTTAAAAATATTCAAAATATACTTATCTTACCACACTTTATCATCACTGACTGCATAAATTACTTACTATTACTTTTGAATGTGAACATCACAATTATTTAATAAAAGCCAAACGAAACAAATGCAACAAAACAGATAATCTTCCAAAAATATTATATTTTATTAAAGAAATTATCAATTTTTGTTCGGATAGTTAATTTTGTTATCACTATATATCTCCTACTAACAAGTTAGAGCTTTTAGGATTTTGTTCGTAAGTCCGGGAGTTTAAATTGTTTTATGAATTTACAACAAAATTTACAACTGTTTACATTATAAATTAAATAATGTTCTAAAGATTAGGAATATTTGAGCAAAACTGTAAAAATTTAATATATTAGCGTTAGTTCCATTAATGACGATTAAATAACATCTAAAGGTGCATCAACGATTAACAAAATCATTAAGCTTACAAATTATCTAAGATAATCTTGAAATTGACTGTATCAATCGCCTTACAAAGGTCATTGAAATTAATATTGATCTTTTATAAAAAAGTATAACAAAATATAATTTTAGGTCATTAATAAGTTTTGATCAATTTGATGATATTTAATGACTTTTGATGAATATATGCTGCTCTTCGTTGAGTTAAATGCGGCTCCTATAAACATTGAAATCTATGTACTTAATACTATGTATATTAAAGCTTTATTTTCTGGCTAAATGAACGACAACCTCACATATACGTCACCCTTTAACAATTACAAAAGTTTTTTAAATCGTCAAAAAAGTGGCTTTATAATGAATGGCTCTATGAAAAACCTGAATACAGCTCTCATTGACCTGACTATCTGTGCTCACCTTTTGTTTTGATGAATTTGATGATATATAATGACTTTTGATGAACATATGCGGCTCTTCGTTGAGTTAAGTGCGTCTCCTATTAAAAATTGAAATCCGTGTATTTAATGCTATGTGTATTAAAGTAGATTTAATATATATGAAAAACCTGAATGCAGCTCTCATTCACCTGACTATCCGTGCTCACTCTTGATATATATATAATTCAAGTATACACATGATATTTTCATTTCCTTTTTATTATTCCATCATAAATTATGTACAGTCTAATGCAGTATACAATAAATATATTCATAAGTATGAAACAAATATAGTAATCCCAGATATATTTTAATCACTTTAGTACGTTTTATGTTTTATGAATTAAATGGTACATTTAAAACTTATTATGTGTTTTATTATATAATTATTATATAATATATAATGCATAGCATAGAATGGATGATACAAAGAGAAAAAAAATGCATTTCAATGTATAAAATAAATATACAACAAAAAAACCATGCCTATTCTTTTTATGAAGTTTTCTAAAATTGTTACAATATTAATTGATTATTAACAAACAAATATTATGAAAGAAAAAACTTTTTGTGTTATACATATAAATTATTAGAATTCATAAAAATGATTTAATGAGCTTTTTGTGTCTTAAAATTATTCCAATATAATATGCATAAAATTTGAGAAAAACGTGTTGAATGATTTATTAATTGATATTGTAGGCATTATAAATTAATATTCAACAAATTCAGTGTTTATAGCCAAAAGACAACTAAAATCTATTTGACAATCAAGTAAACATTATTTATTAGATTTTACTGTCGTATTTTAATCCACTTTTATAATATTTTTATAAATATAGAAAAAAAACATGTATAATATAAATTGATATTGGTAACGTCTAGGCAACAAAGTTATTAAAAGTTATACAATTAATTGACATTTATTTTAATAATGTAATAACTATTGTCTAAGCGGAATTATCGAATTATAGAATCCAACTTATCTATTCATCTACCCCACACAACAATTAGTATGAAGTACGTGATGATAAAGCGTGCTTATCTAGTACGTGCGCTCCGTCTCATCTTATCGAAAATTGATTATGCAAATTGAGGTACCGGGATTCAATTTGAGCCTAATACGAACGAAAAAAAAACGAATGTAAATACTTGGGCTAATTACAGGATACATATTGTATACCTGCACGTCGAGGTGTACTTTTTTGTCGGTGTTATTGTTCGTTTATACCTCCGGGGATTTTCTTATCGAAAGAACGACGCGTAGGTCATTATCAGTAAGATTAAATTTGTTGTCAGAGGAGGTGGATGTGTTTGCCGCAATAAAACTAGAAGGTGCACATTGCATTGACCCAGAACGGATTGTCACTCTGCTCGGTGTATCATATTGCTCTGAGCCATGGGACATCATCATGAGAAGAACGAAACAAACCATGAGCATCAAAAGAAGAATCATCATGAAACGGAAGTGGACACCTACTTTTCAGATAACAAAATCCATATACCAGAAACTGAAAAGGTAAAATTTATCAATTACTTTTAGTGTCAATTATTAATTGTGTTATTTTTCTACAGACAGGATTTAGTTTCCGGAAGCTATGGGCCTTCACCGGTCCAGGTTTCCTTATGTCCATAGCTTATTTGGATCCGGGAAACATTGAGAGCGATCTGCAATCTGGAACCATAGCGAAGAATAAGCTGTTGTGGATATTATTGGGAGCTACGATCTTGGGTCTAGTTATGCAGACTCTGGCTACAAAACTAGGTAAAACTAAAGGCATTATCATTACCGGCTGCTTTCGATTTAACGATCCCACGGTTTATAAATAGCCACACAAAGAATACTTTCGCAAACTCGTTAATTCCGAGCGGAGCGAACTTCGGGCTCGAAGTTTTTAATAATTTAATGCATATCCGAACTATGCAACTCAACAGATGGATGAAGAATTATGAAAAAAAAAATTAAATAAAATAAAATAAAACGCAACGGAAGAAGAACAAAGATGTGGGGTGTGGGGGTAGAGGAAATGGCTCGAACTTCCTTTTAATTAACACATTTTCTCCCGCATTCATTAACAGGTTGGATTTTCATATTGCAATTAAATTTTGTATGGAAATTGCGGAGGACTTAAAGTGCATTAAAAAGTAATTTTAATACTATTCTCATGTTTCTGTCTCGTTTTATTTTTCCAGGAGTGGTGACTGGGCTGCATCTGGCTGAAATGTGCTACAGGCAGTACAAAAAGTTGCCGAGATTGCTTGTCTGGATTATGATTGAAATCGCTGTCATCGGATCGGATATGCAGGAGGTAATCGGAACGGGGATTTCCATCTACCTGTTATCCATGAAAGTGTGAGTTCAATATAACTAAAAAAAATATGCATCAATCATAACCGTTTGTTTCTTAAAGTGTGCCACTGTGGGCGGGATGTTTAATCACTATCGTGGATACTTTCACGTTTCTTTTCTTGGATAAGTATGGTTTGAGGAAGCTGGAGTTTTTCTTTGGATTACTCATTGCAGTGATGGCTGTGACTTTCGGTTACCAATACGTTGTATCCGCGCCTGATCAAGTTGATATACTGAAGGGCATGTTCTATCCTTGGTGCGAGGACTGCGATTCTGGTGCAATCCTGCAGGCTGTTGGTATCGTGGGAGCAGTTATCATGCCCCATAACCTATACCTCCATTCCGCCTTGGTTAAATCCAGGGATATTGATCGCACTAAACCCGAAAAGATTAAGGAAGCTAAATTCTATTACCTCATCGAGAGCAGCATAGCTCTACTCTGCAGCTTCATCATCAACGTCTTCGTTGTATCAGTATTCGCTTACGGACTCTTCGAGACCACCAACAGCGAATTGGTAAACATACCAACAATAATATATAACGATTTTTATTAATTATCCTGGTATTTACAGTTGGATCAGTGCGACGCTCGAGGAATCGACGCGACGGATGTCTTTACAGTAAGGATCCAGTTTCTACAACATAATTATAATTTAATAAAAATATTTATTTTTTAATTAGGGACCACCCGATGAGTACGTATCGGCGGACCTCTACAAAGGCGGTTTCTTCCTGGGCTGCACATTCGGAATGGCTTCCCTGTATATCTGGGCCGTGGGAATATTGGCCGCAGGTCAAAGTTCAACGATGACTGGTACATATGCAGGACAATTCACCATGGAAGGTTTCCTCAACCTGAAATGGGCTCGCTGGAAGCGTGTGTTGTTCACCCGTACCATCGCAATCGTACCAACTTTCCTAACAGCTTTCTACAGCAACATCGAAGATCTCACTGGACTCAATGACATCCTCAATGCAGTCATGAGTGTTCAGCTACCTTTCGCCGTCCTTCCAACCATAGCCTTTACCAGCAACAAGAATATCATGGGCGAATTCGTCAATGGAATGTAAGTAATACAATTTGCCACGTCTTCAAAGAAAACTAACATTGAATATTTTCAGCGTTGTGAAAATTGTTTCGATTTTACTCAGCGTTGTCGTTGTAAGCATCAACATTTTCTTCGTAGTCAGCACAGTCAGCGAACAGAATTTACCAGCAGGAGCAATCGCTGCAATTGGAGTCGTGGGTTTCTTCTATTTGCTATTCTGTCTATACTTGGTGATACATTTAATAGCATCGATGAGTGAAACTGTGGCCAAAATACCGATCATACAGAAATATGTATACGTAGAGGCAGATCACACCTTGAGCTTAAACATCTAAATTTGTATTTAGTTTCTTATTTGACAAGTATTTGATAGACTGCACTTTAAAACCTTTTGATAAACTGTAAAATCAGTTCAAAAAACTGATTTATTTTATTTTCTTGTGCGTTTTACATTAAAACACATCATTCGGGTAGGTTAAGAGAGATTATTATTATTAGATATTAGAATACTCCATAATATTTATAGTTTATACATGATTTTAGAACTGTAGTTTTGTGATATATTAACTTGTAAATAAATAAATCATATTTTATTTTAAAATGTTTATTAATTACAATTTGAGACCATTACATAATTAGAAAATCTTCAAAATTAAAAAAAAGTAGTTTTTTTTAAAATCATATTTTATTGTTTAAAATGCTTGTATTAGGCACCATGATTGAGACCATTAAATAATTAAATTCGGTATCGTGCAGTGTACATTATGCGTTTGCTGAAAAATGAACGTTTTGCATAAAAGTCGTTAAAAATGTTTCCCCCTTTTTGTGTATTTATTTTCTTCGCTTTTTTTATGCCCTTCTTGCGGGGTCGTTATATAAATATGAAAAGAAAAACGAGACGAGCGTAAATATCCTTTGCGATTTAAATAATTTTGATATATATTGGCTGGGATATACATTGTACGCATTTTAATTTTATTCCTCGGGCGATAGAACATAATAAAAGGAGGGTACGCGGAATAACTTAGTAATTGAGAGCGTAAAGTGTATGAAGTCATCTTTGTGACACCAAAGTATTCAATTTTTAATCCACTTTATACTACGTATAGCTACGAACTTTGATGAGGAAGTGTTTACTTGTATATTGTACATATAATAAATATCGTAAAATATTTTTTTTATTTCTTAATTTTCATAATAGTGAAAGCTTTAAATAATTTTAATACACTTTGTATAACTACAAACTTTGATGAAAAAGATGCATATTTGTAGTAAGCTACCTAACACAATATGTAGCCTAGACACAATTTCTCATAAAAAACGCCTTTAACTTCCTAATATTAATGTTCTATCTAAATATACCAAAATTTTATAGTTATATCTAATTTAATATAATAATAATTTTAATAATACATAAGATGAAAAAAAGTACATTTTATACATAAATAAATTCTAACATAAAATAAAAAAAGAACAATTAATAAGCATGTATCAATCGAGGGACATTAGGTATTGAAATAGGGATAATGTGGGATATTTGAGAAAGATATTTGAGTTTCGAGGGACACAGAATTTAGAGACGGAGGCTATGTTGGGACAGGTATCGGTCGAGGAGAGGAACTATTTTGGTTAAATTGAATATACATTTTCAATTATGAACCGAATTTCATTTTACTATGATGGATGGATGATGGAGCTATGATGGACTTTATTATTTTTTACGAGATGATCAAAACTATTCAATAGTAAAAGTAGGTATTTCAATTACTAAATTTATTAAATAATGGATTTCATAATTTTACATCAATATTTGTACATTAACATGAACTATTTGTGTGCTTTCGTGATACTAAATAATTTGTAAATCCATTAGTACACAGTTGAAACACTTACAAGTTGTGGTGAATTATCCATTAAGGCACGTGCCTCATGTGCCTAGATATATTTCCTATAGTATTTAAACTTTATGTTTATTTTTAGTATTCTTAAGGGCACCCAAAATTATTTATTATGAGGACCCAACTATCTTTAATCCGCCACTTCTTACAAGAGTCATTGATAGAGGTAATTATTTTGATTACAGTTTTGTTAGGAATCCTGTAAATGAATACTTCAAGACTATGAAAAATGGAGTGTTTCGTAACGTTATTTGTATTTATTTGTATAGATTTAGTTAAAATTCCATATATTTAGACACATTTTTAAAATTTAATAAAAGTACATAATTACACATTTTGTAGTATACTATACATTATAAACATTTCATAAAATATATATATAACTATTCATGTTCTTATTTGTATTATTTATTAGTAAATTTCTTTATTCCCATAAATTTATTTCTCTATATATTATCAAATATTTCAGTAAAAAATGTTTGCTTCTGTTTTATTCATTATATCTTTTTTAATCATGTTTCAGGATTTCTCCTATAGTTCATATCCTGCCTAATTCATTATATTATAATATATGTTTGTGCATATATGTAAGTTATATGCAGTGGCAGAAATTGAAATATTTGTCCCCCCTGCAAAATATTATTGAAGGTAATAAAATCACTTGGATTTTCTTTGAATAATGAGGTACAAATTTCATGGCACCAGGTAAATTTTAATTTGAGGTGCCCCCTGATTTGAAATAGAGAAAATCATAAAGCCTTAAAGAACAGTTAAAAAAATTCATAACGGAGTTGGACTGTCCACATTAAGAAAGTTGTAGGTCCTAGCCACCCGTTTACTATTTGAGGGCCCTAAACACATTTTTTATTTGGTCCGCATTGCGAGATTTGGTGGCATTATAGTTCCGCCACTTGTAATATGTAAGAGAAACGTGTACAAATTAAATTCAGTGCAAAACATATCTTATATATAGGAATGCAATTTGTCGAGCTTTTAAAACGTCAGGAATGCCTAATAAACTTTTTACATATTTCATACATCCTCTCCTACATTATGAGATATTAAACTCGCTTTAGTGGCAATACAATTGACAGACATGCACATCCTTTTAAAATTAAATTTTAGCAGTTCAAAGAAAAAACAAATTAAAGAGAAACTCATATTAAAATGAAATCCTCCAATTTGATTAAAAAAAATAGGATTTCTCTCTTCATAATTTATAATTTCTTAGATATCATTTTCTTGGTATATTTTTCTGATGTGAAATATTCGTTATATCCAAGCATTGCTATCAGAGGTAACATTAACTGAAGCGTGTCTATATAAAATTTATTTTAAGTCAAAAAGACCTAGGTCGGTAGACCACTAACAAATTGTAAATAATCATCAAATAAAAATGAATTTTTGACGCAATATTATTTCGATTAATAAAAACCTACGAATCAATTAATTCTATGACGATTGCAATCATTGAAAGCAGCAAATATTATTATTTTTTATATATACCGAAATTGGCATCAATAATAACGCTCTTCGAAATAACCGCTGGGAGCAACGAAATAACAGCAGAATGAAAAAAAAACATTGTTGTCAGCTCATAAATAAAATCCTTCCACATGGAAATCATGTTTATCAAACAATTGACTGTACTATGCACATGCATTTATCCCACAATTAAACATTTACAACTATACAATAAAAAAAAACATATATGTGCGTGGAAAATATAAACTCATAACGGGAATTGGTTTAAAAAAATATATATATGCGTGCAATGTTAGTTACGAGCAAATAAAGTTTCCGCAAAACGAATTTTCCTCGAAAATAAAAACGTTTTAATAAATAAATGGAAAAGAAATTAGAACGCTGTATTTTTGTTATTGTTGTTGTGCTTATTTAATTATTTAAACATCAGCTTGTTTTTCTTCAATTACAAATATGTGACTGTAAACACGAAATGTTTGTACATATGATTTTATTTAATTTAAATTTTATTATCTTTATTTGCAATAAATATTATCTAATTCAATTTAATTTTCAATTCTTTACAAAAAATGTCTATATCCTTTATATTTTTTTTATTATAAAAGTCCTTAGAATTCGGTTCTCGAACAAAAATCCAAAATTAAAAAGTAACCAATTTTCGAATAGATTTTTCATTATGTAATTAATATTTAATATAAAAAATCTGCTTCCGATTTATATAATTAAATATATTCTTAAAATTATATATAAAAAGTCTCATATTTTGAAAACTACATTTTACTAACTAAATTTGTATATTTCTACATACGTTTATTAAATATTTTATACAATTTTAGTAATTTCTTAGTACAAAATTTCAAGTATAGAATTAATCCATTGAGAATTTAGTTATTGAATAAAAATTTAAAAAGAGTGTGGTTTCCGAATATATCTTTGAATCATCGATTTCAAATGAAAAATTGATTTTAAAGTAATAAAATATTGGAAATTATTTATCTAATCCAACTTTTATTACATTTTATAATTTTTTTATATTATATATGTTTAAATCTAAAGAAGTTTTTACTCTACTACAAGCAAATCAGAGTTGTATGTTTCTACATACTTTTATTAAATATTTTGTGAAAAACTATGTTTCTATTATTAAAAATGTTCGCATTTAAAATGATGAATGCAGTTGAAACTCGGACAAAAATGAAAACTTAAAAAAGTATTCTGTGTCCGAATACTATTTCGGTTTCGTTGCATAATTATGCTCATCAAATACTAATTGAATAGACAAAAAATCTACTTCTCATGTTTATAATATATAATTTATATTCGAAAAATTCTATATTTTGACAAGTCAATTTTACCTAAAAAAAAAATTGGTTTCATTGATTTCAAATAAAAAAAATAGATTTTAAAACTAATACAATTATTGGAATTTATTTACCTAACCCTTTATTTATCTATAAAATTTGCTATATTCAAATCTAATAATTTCTTCACTATACTTATTACTAGCAAATATTTTATTTTAATGAATATTTTTATGTTTCAACATACTTTCATGAAGTCTTTTATAAATTTTGTATGCTTCATTTAGTAAAAATGTTAATTCATGCAACAAATGCAGTAGAAATTCGGTTCTGAAACAAAAATTTAAAATTAAAAAAAAAATCGGTTTTCAACGAAAATTTCGGTTCTCGAATATAATTTCACTTATGGAATTTTGATAACTCCATTTAAATAACAGAATTTTTCGAATTGTCTATTGAAATCCCGACTGTATTAAAGTCCCGACGCTTGAAATCCCGACTATGTCAAAATCCCGACTATATCGTAAACCCGACTACCATAATCCAGATAATCAAAATCCCGACTATATCGAAATCCCGACTACCATAAAAATGTTATTGTAGAAATTTATAATAATAAAAGACATTGTCGGGATTTTCACGTAGTTACGATTTCTATATAGTAGGGATTTCGAACGTCGGGATTTCAATAAACTGGATTTCGGTTGTCGGGCTTGCGATTGCCATCGTTATGTTTCTACATACTTCTATTAAGTCTTTTATAAAATTGTATGTTTATTTTAGTAAAAATGTTTATTTATAAGTAAAAATCCAAAATTAAAAAAAAATAAATCGATTTTCAAATAAAATTTCGGTTCTCGAATATGATTTCGCTTATG